TTCTCATCTTTTTGCATCTGAATATTTCCTCATCTGTGTCTAGCACAGATGAAAATTTACTTCTTCAAATCTGTTTTTCAGCTATGCATAAAATAGTTTTCCTTCCTTGCTCTGCATCTCCATAACATCTGCTGCACCAGTACAGATGGCTTGTTGTGTTCTGCCTTGAGCAGAGATGACATTTGAGAGGTTTGGGGATGTTTAAATCCCCGTGTCCCAAGTTGTGGTCCTAGTAGGACCTGTCCATAGCAACCTTCATTTGCTTGACCTGAAAACAAGGCTTTGTCCTCTATAGCCTTAGCTGCTGAGATGGACATGACTTCAGATTGACTTCCAACAACAAGATCTTATGGAAGAACTGAGGCTAACCTTAACTTGCTCATTTACTACCTCGGTAGTTCTAATGGAGCATGTCACTACAAAAAGATGACTTTTTGCAAGCATTTGGAGAATGTATGTATCCATTCCAGTGTCAGAAGGGAGTTCACTTGCAGTTCTTCTGTTTTATATTGTCTCCAGGCTAGAATAAAACAGTATCTTTCCTGAGACTGTTTCCTGAGACTACAGGTAATGTTGATTTGTGTCTTAGTGCCCAGGCCGCTAATTTGAGGGGTGTGATCAGCCTGGGAACAGGCACCCCGATGCTGAAGTGCAGCCTTGGGCAGCACTGCCTCCTGCTGTCCCTTGTTGCTGCTCCCTAGGCCTGGTGGCAAAGCCGTGGGCTGTCCTCGTGCAAAGGCTCCGTGTGCAAGACAGCAACCAGCTCCTCATGCCTGGATAAGGACAGAGGTGGAGGGACAGCTCTCAGTTCCAGGGCTGCAGGTGTCTCCCCGATAAGGAACCGGTTCCTACAGGTGCTGTCTATCACATATGATGCTGTGTCACAACTTGCCCACTGCAGCTCCTCAAGGTCTTTGTGTTGTCCTGGGCTCAAGGCTGAGTTACAGCCTAAGAAGACTTCAACTGCTTTTGCTTAAACTTCATGCAAGCAAGACTTAGATAACTTCAGAATATTCCATGTATTTCCTTTTCCCTCTTCTTACAGTCTGCGTTCCTGCTGAAATTTCATTCTTCTTGTTACTGTTGCATTTGAAAGATAGTTTGGAGTAAATGGCCTTTCCAGGCCTTCTGGTTAGCCTCAAACCCTGAGGAACTCTCTTGGGAAAGCTTAGGAAATATCTATTTTCCCTCTGTGTTTTATAATGACCTATTAAACATAAGCAAATTTTTGTTTCTATGATCCAAGTTAATTTAAAATCAGATTTGTTAGCTGTACCTGCTGAAAGCTTTCAGTTCTTGAAAGATGCCCTTTGCTGTCTGCACAACTTGAAATCAATGAAAAATAAATCTGAAAAAAGAGCCAAAGGAGTAATTATCCTTGTGGTAATTTTTAGAAGATAGCTTCTTTTCTTCTTTTTTTTTGGTGCAGCTTGCTTTTTCCTGAGGATGTAGGGTAGCTGGCACCAGCTGGTCCGTGCTTGCTTCCCCTCTAGCATGAGAAATATCTGCTTTGTCCCCACCAGCTTCATGCAGAAGAGAAGCAAGTGGTTTGTAATTGCAGTTTGCCTTGCTTCAAGGCTGTACATCATCTGCTTGTAAGCAGTGTGCTGCACTCAGCACATCCTATTTGGAAGAACATGTATCTGCAAAAAGAAGCAGAGAAGGGAATTTAATAGAACTTCAGATAACTTATTTTTTAGCTGCCCTGTATGAGTTATTCCGGAATTTCTGTGCTTCACACTTGAGTGTGTTGGATAGCTTTTGTCTAGTAATCTTACACTTTTGAACATGGTAAAAATTCTTTAACTTCCAAAACCCAAACCAACTCAAAACTTAATGCTGTTTTCATCTGGCCTTCATGGGAAGTGCTTGTAACTCATTTAAGGCAACCCGGAGAGCACTGTGCTGGTGGGAACAAGGCTTCCGTGGAGTCCATGTCCCACGTCTCCTGTGAGAGCACACGGGGCTCTGCCCGCTTGAGCTTCTGTCTTGGTGCACATTAGCTTGACTGCTAAGTGAAGGAGTGAAAGAGATTGATGAAACAATGTAAGAGGGAATTTATTTAGGGTAAGTGCAACTTGTTTTAGTGGTGATTTGTGAAGCTTGTTTTCATAAGAGCTTGTTGACAATTCTTGAATGCAGAATTGCCTCTCTGATGATCTTGGGTGCTCAGTGAATAGTTTGTGAAGATAATTTTGTGAAAGATGATCCACAGAAGAGGTAGTGAGTGTCAGTAAGCCTGGGTTGGCTTGTTAAAAGTGAACTTTGCTTTTTAGTACTTACAAGAATTCAATCTTCTGTGCAACTTCTCTAAATGTGGATTTTCCTTCTAGGTGTTCAGTGTGCTGACTTCTTGCTCTGCGACCATGCAACATTGTGTGCCACCATGTGTTCTTGTCAATGGCCCCACCACGTGTTCTTGTAAATGACCAGTTTGGAGGCTTTTGGTGAGGGTGGCTTTCTGACTCTGAGTATCTTTAAAACGTGTCTTAACTGATAACTTAATGCTGGTAGCTGCAGCTTAATGCAGTTGGGAGCGCGGCACAACCACTGCAGCTTGGGCCTCTGAGTGTCCACAGCTAATTTCAGTGGTTCCTCTGCACTAAGCTCTTCAGCTCAGTGTTTCTCCAGCTAGACCTTAGTCCTGCAGATGTTCTGTGCAAAATTAATTTGTGCAGTGCAGCTTCTCTGAACTTCTCCATTGCAAAATTGTTTGTCGTGGTTTGTGGTTCTGTTATGTTGGGGAGGCGCTTAATTGCACTGCTAACACGTCTTACAAAATGGCAGTTCAGCACCTTGGCAAGATTAGGACAGGAACAGTAACTAGCTGGTTAATCAAAAGAGAACTGATGTCTTTGCAATAAGCTCTCCTGTGATTTCTGACACTTGGCAAGCTCTCCGAGTGACTAATCTATCTGCAAGTTAGAGAATTTATCATATTTTTATTTACTCAGTCATACAGCAGCCATGGTTATTGCTGAGCAGAGATTAAGGAGATGGATATATGTGGAAAATGTCTTCTTTTGCAGGCCCAGTGAAGTCAGACTAAATTCTAATTCATTGCATTTGTATCATTTTGTATCATTGCACTTTGCATCACTTGAAATGCAATCTGAATTTGTCAGGGCATAATTTGTCTGGCTTCTCTTAATGATGAAATCTATAAAAGCTAGTTTTCTTTTTGACACTTTGCCAAACTTTAGTCTCTACCAAAAAAAAAAAATTTTTTTTGGTAGAGAATAAACTTGCTTATAGTATGAAGCAAGTCATAAAAAGAATCAACTCCTGTGCCTTAAGAAAGGGGGCTTTGTGGCTCTAGTCTGACTCTAAACTCAAAAGCACAGTGGGGAACAGGACTGGACTCCTGCAGTAAGTGCCTAATGCCTCCAAGTTTTGCTTTTATGCACTAGATGCTGTTTTAGTTCCAGAAATACAGGAGATGATAACCACGATCCTTTTCTACCTTTGCAGGCACCTAGGGGTTGACTGGCTCTGTGCAAATCCTGATTTTTTTGGCTGTGTCTGCTCATATGTCATTTGCTTTTTATTTTTTTCCTTCTATTCTGTGAAGATCAAGACTCTTACGGGTTGCCTTCCCACTCTCCTTGAGGAATGGCCACACTTAATGGCACTTTCTGCTCAGTGGCAGCTTTTGGGCTTGCTTTCTCCCTAAAGTAGAGGCTACCAAGCTGTGAGCAAAGTGGAATGTGAAGCTGGGAATGGATTTCCTTGGGAATGGAAGAAATCCAGGAGGATAAGCAGGAAGACCGCCACCAGAGGATCACTTGTATCCACAGGCTCTTGGTGTCACTTGGTAGGATCAGAGGGAAGGGAGGTAGGTAGAAGAAGATCTCTTAATGGTCAGGATTAGTGGATGATCTTCCAAAATGAGGCTTATTCTAGGAAAAGTTGAGGCAGCTGATCTGAGCAGCTTCCAAAGGGCAGAACCCTCTTAATACAGCTGGTTGTATTGTAGCTTGTTGTATACAAATAACAACAGGTAACAAGCTATTGTATTTGTATTGCAGGTGCTGCTGCACCTAAGCAGGTTGTAAGGAACTTTGGGGCATCTGAAGGCAAATGTCAATGCTCCTGTCTTTGGTGTCTGTTGGAGAGGAGGTGCCAAGAGCAGAGCACAATAAGCAAAACCAAAGCCCTCTGATCTTGACCGACTGTTCTACCTCGGTTGATCCTTCAAATTGTGGAGCAGCTTCCTGAAACTTGGCTGGGAAGAGTCTAGTAAGGAGGAGGATTTTGGATGTTGGGAGAGTTGTTGTATGGGAAAAAAAAAATGAAGCAAACAGAGTCTTTTCCAAAGAACATACTTTCCAGACATCCATTCTAGAATAATTGCTCTTCTGGAGCTTGACTAGGGAAAGGGATGAAGGCTCCCTGGCCTTAGCAGGGCCGGTGCTGGGCCCGGGACGGTGTTTGCAGCCCCGGGAGGGAGTTTGCTGCCCCGGGAGGGAGTTTGCAGCCCTGGGACAGTGTTTGCTGCCCCGGGACGGGCGACGTTGTCCTCGGGTGGCCGAGGGCTGGACGGTGCCGAGCGGGAGCAGCGCCCACAAAGAACCGTCCCGCAAGCCTGGCCGAGGAGCGGGCACCCGGGACCCGCGTTTCTGCCTCCGTGGATGTTAAAGCTCCGTTTCCAGGCGCGGGACCTGGAGCGTTCGTATCGGGAGGGCCGCGGGTCCCTCGCSCGGGGGCTGCGTGGCCGTTTCCCTCAGGGCGCCTCAGGGGCTC